GAGACCCAGGGACTGGCCGGCTGTGAGCCAGCCACCAATGTCTAGAAACCGGGGCCCCTTCCAAAGGGGAGACTTGAAGCAAGGACACTGCTGGTGGTGGTGTGAGCCTGAGCCCCCACAGTTTTTCTCCTCCCCTGGCCACGAGGGTCGAGAAGGCTTCGGGTTTTTGTTAGACACCGAGTGATCCAAGTCCCGTGCTCATAGAGCTCATCTCCACCCAAGCCATGCCTTCGGGGCCAGGCCTGTGCAGCATGAACTGGCTGCTCCCTCCTACCACACCCCAGCCTGGGGGTCACAGCCCCTCTCTAAGCGCCCTTCTCACCTCCATCCGACTTATCTCGCCTGTTTGGCACCCACAAGGTACAATCATTGTGGGACATTTCCGTACACAGCATGTCTTCTCTTCTGGCTCCTAGAAAGAGAAAACACTGTCTGCTTCCTGGTTTGGCAGCTCCTGGGGTAGAGACACATGACATCTGTGGCCCCAGCACCTGTCAAGAACTGGCCACTCAGCAAAGGTTCGTTGGAGAGTTCAAGGACCAACATGTAGCGTCCTGCACTATAGAAGAGTGGCCCTGTGTGAAAAACAAGCCAACTCCTTTTGCAAAGATGGCTCTTCCCCAAAAGGCGAATAAATTTGTTTCCCAGAGGCCTCCCTTATTGGAGAAGCCTGGTGTGAGGTCATGCAACGTCATGGAGGGCCGTCAGGGCTGCGAGCATTTCCAGGTGACACGGCTGTATTCCCTGCCTCGGGCAAATCCAGCCTCCCCAGGCCACACTGCAACCAGCACAGAGGCCAGTCCTGGGCAGTGAGGCCTGCTGTCCTCCAGATCCCAGGCCCAGGTCCCCGTGCCTTGGGACCCCGGGCCCCACCTCTAACGACTTCTTATGGCCACTGCTCTGGCCCCCACGCCCAGCGAACCACAGCCTGCTCACCTAACCCTTAGTCCCTGTGCTACCCTGGGCTGGGCCGCCCTCACCGCTCAATGCCAGGTAAGACTCCCTCACCCTCCTCAGCCCTGCAGTCCCTAAAGGCCAGCCCCAGCCAAGCCCCTACCCTGCCAGAGGACAGGGATGAAGACCAAGGAAATGGAGCCCAACATACAAGAGACCCGGAGGGGGGACGAGGTCCCTGAAACCTGAGACCCCTTTTCCAAGAGCCCACCTGTGTCCTGGGGAAGGACCATCCTACAAACAGTCATTTGGGAATTGACCCAAAAGCCCCATTTGTTTTAGTAGGGATCTTGGCAGGCTACCTACCCCAAGTTGCTAACTCAGTGACAAAGGCCCTGGGTCAGGCTGGGTTGGGAGCACAGAAAGGGTTTTTGTGGGTGACATTTTGTGTCCCACGTCCTCCGCAGGTCTCCCCCTGCTCCTCTGTCTACTTCTTTCTGCCAGCTCTCTCTGCCCAGGGGCTCGGGAGCTGGCGTGCGGGAGTGGAAACAGCCCCACAGGCTGCAGGAGGCCTGTTTGGGAAGCTCAGTGTGTGCATCAGGCATGCTGACAGCATCAGGACCCAACAGCACCTACCTTTTCTGGTTTCTGCACTGGTGGTGGCTCCTTGACGGTCTAGAATGTTAAAGAGACAAACACAGGCTGGAAGGGGCGGGGAGGGCTCTGGCTCAGCCCCGCAAACAGGACGGGACCCTGCTCTGCAGCACAGGGACAGAACAAGGGGTGTCAATCTGGGCGCCCGCTGCCTGTGGTCTGTGGTCAACAGGCTCCAGCTCCCTGAACCTCGGGCTCCTCGGTGTCCAAGGGGAATGGGTACCTCCCTGGAGGGTGGACGGAGAGACAGCAGACTAAGGTCCTGGTCCCTGGTAGAGCCACCCCGCCTGGTCCTTTCCTCAGCAGCCTTACATCATGTGAAGACAAGAGAACACTCCCCACTTCCATCCTCCTCGCCTCCCCTCCCCATGCCCTGCAGCCCTCCCTGGCCTCGCAGCCCTCAGGGATGACAGGCCCCCGCCCCTGGGCTTTCTCTCCTCGCTGCTCCCCCTTAGTAGAAATCCTAAGGCCTTGCTTCCTGCGGCTTTGCTCAGGCCTTTCATGCCTCTGCCTTTGCCTCTGCCTCTCTCTCCATCCAGATCTCTGGCATGTGTCCTTGCAAACCCAGGGAGCCAGAGCCTCTGCCTTCCCTCCCTCCCCTGGGCCAGGCCCTGTCCTTTGCTATTGTTCTGGTTACACAGGGCACTTGCCACACCCTATGAAGGTTGACATTTTACCCTCAATACCCCCGGGCACCAACGCCACAGCAGACACTAGGCTGTGGCCCCCCACTCTGTCCCTTTGTGGCCAGCTGGGGGCCCAGCATGTCCTGGTGCTTAGTAACGACTGAGGAGGGACTGACGGAAGGCACTAAAGATGTGCAGAGACCCATGCTGGTTTTCAAGGTTCCAAATCCTACCAGCCAGCATCAATCGCCCTTTGGGGCCCTCTGTGCCTCCTGCAGACCCCCCTTCTTCCCTCAACAGCAGAGGCTTCCTCCCGGCTTTGGTCCACCTGAGTCCTCCAGAAGCCTGGCCACTGTGAGGCAGCCCTGGTCTCAGGGGCCTAGGGTCACCTCTCCCCAGGGGCAGGGCAGCCCGTAGGCCACCTCCCTGAGGTACGTATGAGGCAGGAGGCTCCTGAGAAGCCCAGGCTGTGTCTGTGACCGGGAATGGAGGACAGAGCCTGCGCCTCTGGTGCTCACGTGACGACCTTGGAGCTGATGGGAACCTGCCCACAGGCAGGACCATGGGGCGGGTGGGCATCTGGGTCCATTGCGGGGTTCCCGTGGGCCTGGGCCACAGGGCTGTGGGCAGGGGGCACTCACCTTCTTGCAGCACAGCCGCCAGATGCACCAGATCAGCACCGGGAACATGAGCAGGGCCGGGATGAGGGCAACCAAGTAGAGAGGGTTGAAATTTGGGATAAAATGTGGGGGAGACGGCGGGGGATTCGGTGTGGGATCTGGTGAGGCATCTCGCAGGGGATCTGGCAGGGGATCCGGCAGGACATTTCGTGTCTCAGACTGCAAAAAGCACATGTGGCAGAGGCGTGGGGTCGCCTGGGTGGCCTCTTCCCAGGCGCCCACCACCTGGCCTCCCACACCAGACATACTCGTCTGCCCGCTCCCTCTTCTCCTCAGGTTGCCCCACCTCGATGGACCACAGCTGGATGAGGAGGCCAAGGCTGGGACCAGGAGAGCCACTCTGGAGCCCTGGGCCACAGACCCCACCACTGGCTCTGCTCAGAAGCTCTGCCCCAGAGCCCTGTCAAGGTATTCCAGAATCTTCCACGGACTGACCAAACCCAGCCCTCACTGCATGCCATGTTTGACAGTACAGGGGTGTTGTGAGGACCACAAAAAGCTACAGAGACACAGACGGGTGAGGAGGGGCTGCTGCTGGGCCCACTGAGAGGTGGGGGTGCAAGAGCAGAGGCAGGAGCCCCGGGTCCAGCCTCCATCGCCCCTCTCCGCACTTTATGGCTCTGCAACCTTGGGCAAAGTGACTCAACCTCTCTGAGCCTCTTGTGTCCTGTAACGAGGAAATGAGCGGGCACTTGTTGGGTTTGAGAGCGATTACAGCAAGTTCGGGACAGGCCAGGTCCACGTCGGGGCTTAAGGAAAGGGAGCTACTGTGTTCCTCATGACCACGGAAAAGGGTGCCCCATCTGTGGACACGCACGCTGCACAGCCCTTCCCCACACCAAGTCTCTGCTCTCAGAGAAGCAGGAGAGGGAGAGTGGGGTGACAGAGCCTGTGCCCAGGAAACAGGGCCCTGAGGTGAGAGGCAAAGGCCAGGTTGACGGTGACGGCCCTGTGCTGGCCCAGAGCCACAGGCTGCTCTTGAGTTCTTTCTAAATGCGCCTGTCGAGGGCGGGCTGTCAGCTGGTGGGACTCCTGATGGGCGAACGCATGAGTTCAGCTGCTGACCGGTGAGTGGATGTCCAGGGACAGCAAAGACACACACATGGAGGACCGTCAGCACCGCTGCAACCCTCACAAGCTGGTACTGGACACACGGTGGAGGCCACAGGCGCAGGTGTCCCTCCTGCCACGCACACATCTTCCACCACCTAACGCTCTCTGTCGCCCAAGTCATGCTGCCCCGGGCTGAGGCGCCCAGATGATGAGAAGCTCTGACGAGTGGGCTCCCGGGGGGCAGCACCTCCATTCCCAGGTGCCTCTCCCTGAGCTGAGTCCCCGGCCCCTCCCCACAGCCCTGACAGCTTCCCCACCCACAGAGGAGACACTTCCTGCAGAGGTCAGAGGGAGTTAGCGCTGAGGGACAGCTGAGGAGCAGGAGAGAGGAGGACAGGCAGAAGGGAGGCTGAAGACATCTGCAAAATGACAGCAGGTGTCCCCAAGCAGGCTTGAGCGCGGGGGCTGTGACAGTCATGAGTGGGTTCAGAGCTGTACCAATAGCTTGAGCACCAGTGCAGTGTAAACACACCCTGGCTGTGCAGGGCCACAGCTGAGCCCACCCTCCAGATCCCCTGTGCCAGGGACCCTGATTTGGAGGGCCTGGGAACCCCAGAGGTCCTGGACTCTGGCTCCTAGCATACACCCTCCAGCCTCTCCCACTCACTCCGGCTGGAATCCAGGATGGAGCCCTGACGTCCCCACCGCTAGACCCGAGTCAGGGAGGTGGCAGCGTGGGAGACAGCGTGGGCAGAGACTCGGAACTGTTTCTGGGGTTGGCTTAGAGTTCTAACTGGTCCCCTCCAGGTGCCTTCAATGACACTTGGTTCACAGAGAGCAGAGGTTCTGCAAGGCCTGGCCAGCTGGCTGCACCCCTGGTGCTCCTATAGAAGCACTCCCAGGGCACTTCCCAAGCCTGAGCTGGGGGACAGCTCCCCGAGGAAGGCCTTAAGGTCCCGGCTGACTGAGATGCTGCCCGAGGTGCCTGTCTGCACCAGCTACTTGCTTGGCCTGCCTGAAGTGTTGTTCTCCCCTCCTGATCCCCAGGGTGTCTCTCCCTCCAGCCCCGCAGAGAGGTTGCAGCCCCACCCTGGCACTCACACAGTCCTTGCTGGTGATGCTAACGTCATTGTTGATGAAACTGATGCCATTGCTCAGGCTAACTTCAATGAAGACTTCCCTAAAGCACAGAAAGGGCAGACAGTGACGACCAACCCAGACAAACACAGTTCTTGTACTTGACTCAAACTGTAGCCTCCAGGTCTTATTGTAACGACTTTGAACACCAGGCATTTTGACCACCAGAGAGCAGACAGCATGGGTAAGGAGAGTTCACCTGAAGCTCTACGACGTCAATCTGTGCAGTGAAGGCTGACCAGGCAGTGAGGAGCCCTGCATGGGGTCTGATGCCTGTGGCCATGGGCTAAGTGAGCAACGATGGCTGCTTGGTGTCACTATCCTGACTCTTCTGTATTTAGAGAGTATGTTGGCTTACCTCTGAAAGTTGCCTGGAGCATAGGAACCCTCCCTGGGGGACACCATCTCCCGCATCCTGCCCTCCTCAGCAGATCCTGGGCCACAACAGATCCCTGAGCACCTTGGGGGACGACCACCAGGGGCAGGTATGCTGGATGCCCTGAGCCTTCTGGGAGTCAGCCATCTGCTGTCCCAGCAGAGGTAGCATCACACATTACAGACACTTCATGGTGGTAAAAATTGTCCACCTGGTCTCTGAGCTGGGCACTTACTGGTCTGGCTTCTCTATCTTTACTCCTGGGCACATTATTGTGGTATCTTCCACAGAGGTGGGTTTTTCATCTAAAAGAAAATCACATGAGAACGTCAGTGGACACATCCGTCCATCCACCTCTCCCCTCCTCCCTGCCCTTGGCAAGCAGAGCTAACGCTTGGGCAGACGCCAGCTCCTCTTCTCTCTGTCTTCTTCTATCCAAAGATACCACTGCGCTCCTACCAGGCACCAGGCACCAGGCCATGCTCTGAGGTTTAAGGGAAACAAGGCAGGCAGAGTCCCTGCTCTCAAGGGCCTCACACTTGAGGGACTGGAAAGGGAGACAGACAACGAAATAACAAACAGTGAACAAAATGAATGCCAGAGAGTGATAAGTACTGTGACATCACTAGACAAGGGAAGGAACAGAGAATGGAGGGGAAAGGACAGCTGCTTAGGAATGGGTGACCTGTCCTGCCTGTCAGAGACAATTTCTCTTTCAGAGAAACTGAAATATTTACATATGAAATGCTGCTTGTCTGGGATTTACTTCAAAATAATCGATGGCTAGGGTATCAACAAAACCAGATTGGTCAGGGTTGATAATTATTGAAAGTAGGTGAAGGCTGCTTCAAGATCATTACACAGTTTTTGCTCCTTTTGTATATTATTGAAAATTTCCATTAAAAATAAGGTCTCTCTGAGGAGGCGTTCCTGGAGCTGAAACTAGATGAGGGGAAAGCCAGGGAGAGATGCGAGGGAAGAATGTTCTGGGCTGTGGGATGGCATGTGCCAAGGCCCTGAGGCGTGACGACCTGAGCTTGCTGAGGAGGACAGAAGTGAGTGAGGAGAGGTGGGCAGGCCTCGTGGGCCCTGGGAAGGGGTTTGGGTTTATTCTAGGTACAACGAATCCGTCGAGGGCTGGCTAGAGCCGGATGTGTTTTAGACAGGCAACATCCAACTGCATCAGGTACTGTGCTAAGTGCCTTACATACACTATCCCAACTAATTCTCGGAAGAGACCTCTGTCTGGAGCCCCAACAGGGCTTGCTGGTGGACTCGATGTGGGGATGAAAGCGAAGAGGAGTCAACATGACATGCAGGTTTTTGACCAGAGCAACTGGGTGGATGTGGTGCCACCTACCGAGACAGGGGAGCCTGAGGAGGGAACAGGGGCTTTCTTTGTTCTTGTTTTCTGGTTTCTTTGTGTGTGGAGTTGGTACTCACCAGGCTAAACAGACTTCCATAACTTGCAGCTGTGGAGCCTTCTCAGTCCTGAGTCCAAACTCTTTTTGTAGCCCTGAACCGTGGGTCAGGGGTATTCTCTACGGAATGGTCATTTCCTCGTAAGCAGCTCTTTGGCTCTAACTCTGTTGTCAGATTAGCTATGAACTTCTGAACTGTGTTACTCCTTGTTTGGTGCTGATAATGAAAACTAATGGCCAAGTACCGTTAGGGGAAAGGACTTGGGTCTGAGGGGTGGGATGCTTGGGATTAAGTGGGAAAAAAATCTGAAAGAAATGCAATGCCTTTCCAGTAGGGTGTTCACAGGCCAGAGCAGGGAGAAGGCGGTGATGGCAGGCACCCGGCACAGCAAGGGCCCAGCAAAGCATGGGGGCTGGAGAGGAGTTTTCAAACCAATATTAGCTGATTAAACCCAATACTACAGTTGCCTTAGTTTAAAGATTTCTTAAAAATATAAAAACACACACTAAAGACATAATATAAAACATATACAAAGTGATATAAATATTTTCTTCTTTATGCTTCTATTTTCTAAAACACGTTCACAGATGTTTTAAGCAGAAGAAAGCGTAATTAAAAACAACCAAATCAATCCTTATGAGGGCATCAGAGCTTCTGGCAATAAACAGCCCAGATTGGCCTCTTCTGGCTGGCCTCTGACCGGGGGCAGAGTGGCCGTCGGCAGAGGGGCCGAGGACTGTGGGACAGCATCTCCCTTGTGAGAGCCTGGCCCTGGTCCACCTCAGACAGAAACACTGTGATCTCGGGAGAGCAGGACAGCCAGAGGCCACAGAGGAAGCATCTGAACGCACTTCCTGGGGTACACGTGGTGTCTAACCTTCCTCAAGAACCGTCTTCTCGCAAGGCTGACGCTAGACTGGGCAATGCGATCCCCTGTGGCTACTTTGCAGCTCTTCCTGCACCAGCTTGTGGCCTGGGGCAAACCCTTTAATCCTCCCTGCCTCTGGTTCCAGATCCACACAAAGGGGTAACAATAGGTCTCTTCTGAGAATGAGTGGGGATAGTGTTAGGTGAGGCCCTTAGCACGTACCTGATGTAGTCACTGCTCAGTACACATTAGCTCTCTGTATAAGGGAGTTACTCAGTCCCTAAGCCTCTCATCAGAAAGTACAGACAGGGACACAATCCCTGAGGCTGCCTACACAACGCTGCAGTGGGGAAATGTGGCAGTGACAGTGCTCTGCCCCATTCTAGGCACCCATGGAAAGAAGGAGAGACGGCCTAGAAGTGTGCTGGGGCAGGGGAGTTGCTCCGGGTTTACCAGATGGCCCTGGAAGAAGTCACTGAACATAGATGATCAGATCAAATGAAGACATCCAGGGGCCAACCGGGAGATTGAGGAGGAGGCAGACAGTCCAACTGTTCCCCATGCCCTCTGTGGGGAAGGTCACACCCACCTCAGCGCTGAGGTATAACATCTGCCTGCCCCAACTCTGGGCTTCCTCAGGCCACTCAGCCATCATGGGGGTTCACCCAATGCCTCTGTATTTCCAAAAACTAGATTTACATATGTGCTAGAGCTGAGATAGTGCAACCACCACAGTGGCCCCACTTGGCAGCAGGGAAAGCAGAGGCTGAGAAGAGAACACTCATTGGTTCAGGGACACACAGGTGACATGTGCCTGAGGCAGGATTCCAGGACCCAGGCCAGCAGTTGGCATTGTCTCTCAATCCAAGGTGGACACAACCTCCTGGGGAAGCTACCAGTGCACCCGGCATGGCCTCAGGGCCCTGGGGCTGCCTCCACTTCCCACCTGTGGAAGCAGACCTATGGCATTTGGGTCCTTGGGTCTCAGGGGGACTGAGAGCTGAGGAAAGGGAGGGGCATGAAGCTGTGAGGGCCGACCCTGCACCCCATACCCAGCCCTGGCAGGGGGAAAGCCCCGCTCCAAGTCCTCTTGTGGTGCTGGGGGCTGACGACTTCCTGGCTTGCAGATGAAGGGGAGGTGGCCAGGCTTCTCAGGTAGGTCCCTCCTCTGCTTGTCCATGCCGCTTCTATCCCCACAGCGTCCACAGAGAATGGTCAGCAAGAACCTTGAAGGCTTGGCTGGCTGAGGGGAATGCAGCCTGGCGTGGGAAATTTGTCACGTGGAGGCTTAAGGGGACTACTTACCAAATAATTCGGTGTCGCTGAACTTGAATCTACAAATAACATCATCCTTGTTCTTTGCATTATTAAAGCCTTTTCCAGAAATCTTCAATTCATAGTTTTCTGCAAGGGCAACATCCAGATATCTGTGTGAGGAGGGGCTGAGTGCTGTCCTCCCTCTGATCTCACAAGTATGGCAGGCCACCTCCGTAGTGGAATTCCCAGGAGGCTCCTATAACGAAGTAGCTGTGTCTGAACCAGCCGTGGGTGGTGATCCCCACAGGCTTCCCAGCCTTTCAGCCGTGATCCCCACAGGTGAGATCCCCACCTGTTGTTGCTAAGGGTTCATTCAGAGGTGGCTGGGCTGGGCCTTGAGTACCCGGGGGCCCTTCACCACCTATCCTGACCCATTGAGCCCATTAACGGCACCCAGCTTCATGCCCTGTCATCCTGAGGTGCTCTGTAAGGGGTGCAGGTGGTGCTCTCTCCCAGGCCCTCCTTCACACAAATGGGAGAGGAGCCTAGACTACACAAGCTGAAGACAGCCCTGTCTCACGCCTAAGCTAGGCACCCAGGCTGCTGGGGCTGCCCTGGCACATCCCCGCCCCTGAAGCACACACCAGGGGATAGAGAGAGGGCAGCTAGC